TTTTTTTATAAATTAATAGACAAAAAAAAATCCACTCTCAGAAAAAACTGTCATACTCTGTTCTTCAGGTCAGTAAATTATAGTAAAATTAACACTGAATTTGAATGTCTAAACATGCACAAACCAGGTGTTCACGTACAAAGAGTTTGCTGACACATTTTTATAGTGCTCTCAGCTGGTTGGCACCATTCTGGGGTTTAGTGAAATTAGCAGAAATTTCCCACAGCGGGGACAAAGACTGCTATTCTCTTTCAGTCCTTGTTCCTACTAAGTGTATATGAGAAACTGGATCAATAGATGGTGTTGATTTGAACAGTGGCTACAACAGCAACAAGTATTTGTTTCTGTAAAGTAGCTGTTCAGACAAAGCTCTGGTTTCATATTAAAGTAGGATAAGCTGTGTTCTCCTTTGAGTGACTGAATCAGATGGGCACAGCTGCAGAGCAGCAAGTGTTGGCAGTGTTGTAGGTCTAATTTTCATTGTTCAAGTGCGAGCCCGAGGAGGATTATGTGTGTGAGAGTGTGTGTGTGTTTTTTTAAAATCTCCCTCAGCACTATGTGTTGCTGTGAGGTGTTCACTCCAGCCTCACTCTCTAAAGGAGCTCATTCATGCATCTGAGGCAAAGACACCAGCACTCCACAGGCTCACATTTCTGTGGGCCTTTTGTCCTGCCCCGCAGAGAGTGCTGGGGAAATAGGGATGTGCGCAACCCAATATTAGCCCTCATGTTTGTTCACTTGCTCCTCTGTTCTTTGATATCATCTTTGCCAGAATGGGCAAAAGTGCCCTGGAAATAGAACAAGTATTAGCATGTATATTCCTATTACTAATGAAACAAGTTTTTTATATGAAACTGTATGTTTGTTTCATTTATAGTTTAATTTAATTTTGTTTTTAAATATATATGTTCAAACATTTTATATTATAAAACACATTTTCTTATTGATTATTTAATTAGTTTAATTATTTGTTTTTTGGATTTATATATTGATATCAATATCTGTTTGTTTTATGTATAGTTTAATTGGAATTATGTTTATTATTTTAAATATGCTATACACATGGTATACATATATAATAATTAAAATAAATACATTTTTAATTTAACTTTTTGCATTAAAGCTTTAAACAAGTAAACATTTAAAAAGGACTGAAATATAATATAGAAAAAAATATATAATGAAATGATTATATATATAATAAAAGTAATAATAATAATAACAATAATAATTTAATAATAAAATAAATAAAAGAATCAGGAAAAACAAGGGCACAAATTTAGCTCTTTTAATTTACATGTTTTAAAATAAAGCTTTAAACAAGGATACAGTGCAATTCTTTATCAGTTGCAAATATGGAAACCAAAACATTTGCAGGGTAAATATTGTGGTACAGAGGCATCTCTCAGCTGTCTGTGGTGGTCACTTATGGATGAGCTGCCGTCAGATCCCTGAGAAGTGCACACTGTAAGTTAGCCAGACCTTATGCAACAGAGCACCTCAGTTCATCCATCTTATCCGGACAGTCCGCTCTGCCCACTGTTCAAACACTGGAGGATCTGGCTTCAGAGCTTAGCTAACAGATGAGTTAGTTAGAGATGTGTTACTGCCGATCATCAGAAAGACAGTTTTCTAAGTTCTCATTGTTAATACTGAGGAGACTGGGGTTGTTTGGTACAGGTTCGTTTCTGGGTCATATTAGGATGCAGTCACATATATATATATATATATTTGCTCTCTTGATCCACACTCATTGGTATTATCTATGCATTAAAAGTCAAAGCCTGTTGCGGTAAGAGCATTTTTTTTCATTTCTGCATGCAGGTTACGTCGGTTCACCAGTACACTCTAAAAATTGCAACTTAAATATAACCCAGCGCTGGGTTAAAAAGGGACAAACCCAGCTATAGGGTTGTTTTGACCCAGCGGTTGGGTTCAAAACATCACAATCGCTGGGTCAAAACAACCCAATAGCTGGGTTTGTCCCTTTTTAACCCAGCATTTTTTAAAGTGTAGATGACGGCAAGTGACCGACTTTATGAGTGAGTTGAATGATTCATTCAGCCAACCGATTCAAAACAAACAAGTGAGTTATTGAATCAGTCTTTCAACCGACGTGTCAATAACACTGATTTATTTAGGAGCGAAGTGAGTCATTGAATCTGTCACTCAACCGATTCATTCAAGAACATTGATTCATTCACTACGATGTGTTTGTCGGAGACATGACGGCTGATTTTCTGTGGCTTCCTTTGTAACCATTTTTTGCTGCAGGAGTCAAAATCAACAAGAATACCTAACCATATTTTTTTAACTAAAATGTGAGTTACTCCATATTACTGTTTAGTAGCATTTGTACAGAGCATCTGATGACCAGTGTTTTACAATATCTCCGCATGCTTAGTGAGTACTGTGAGATGTATGCATGTGGCAATTGAGCCTGGTATTTCACACATCTGTGAGGGCAGTGTGTGGCTGTAAACGGTAACAACATTGCCTTGCTGAAGCCTCGGTCTTCCTTTCACTGCTCACCAAATATTCAGATCTCAAAATTCATCATCTCGTGTCATATATATTTTTTTAGATGCTCTGGTTGTCAAAGTCAAAGCATATGTGGCAAAATATGAGAGAACCCTGGATCTAAACTAGGTATTCAAATTACTGTTGTATACAGATATGATTGGTGGTAATATCTGATTTCTGTGGAATGGAAGCCACATTTCATATACAGTTGTAAGAAAACATCTGAACCAGTATTATCGTTTGCTAAAACTGAAACTATTAAAATCATTTTCTAGAATATAAATGAAGATGAAATCAAATAAAATATAAATATTAGATGAAAACTAAACAAAACATAGAAATGGTGACTATGCAACCAAAAGAAATGTCTAAATTGAAGTACTAAAATGACTAATACTAAAACTGACTAGGATGTGTGATGTATCGGTATCACATTAGTATGTAAAACAATTGATTTTAGTCTTTAGTGTTTTAGTTTTAATTTAAAATGTTGATTATTTTTATGTCATATATATTTTTTTAGATGCTCTGGTTGTCAAAGTCAAAGCATATGTGGCAAAATATGAGAGAACCCTGGATCTAAACTAGGTATTCAAATTACTGTTGTATACAGATATGATTGGTGGTAATATCTGATTTCTGTGGAATGGAAGCCACATTTCATATACAGTTGTAAGAAAACATCTGAACCAGTATTATCGTTTGCTAAAACTGAAACTATTAAAATCATTTTCTAGAATATAAATGAAGATGAAATCAAATAAAATATAAATATTAGATGAAAACTAAACAAAAAATAGAAATGGTGACTATGCAACCAAAAGAAATGTCTAAATTGAAGTACTAAAATGACTAATACTAAAACTGACTAGGATGTGTGATGTATCGGTATCACATTAGTATGTAAAACAATTGATTTTAGTCTTTAGTGTTTTAGTTTTAATTTAAAATGTTGATTATTTTTATTTTTTTTTTAATTGGCCATTTATGGGTTATCAGCCATTAAAATGATATATAATTTTTTTCAATAAAGACATGGAAATGAGTCATTGTGTGTATATTAGTTGTTTAACAGACTGTATTTGTCTTTATGACTTGAAGATTAGATCAAATTTTATGACCAGTTTATACATACATTCAATGTAAATCCAATGGTTCATATACTTTTCCCTACAACTTTCACTTTTAAAAATAATCTGAAGTCATCATTCATCATACCGCTTTATTTCCACATGTATAGCAGGTTTGCCTGGTGATTTGATCTGTTTGTTGCTGTCTGTTACAGTACAGTGGTGGGAGCTGCATGAATTACAGGATCCCTTTTAACCATGAGTTAGCAGGAGCTCACTGGAGGAAATTAAAAGCTAGAGCAACTTCCTTTTAACTTCCCGCATAGCCTCTCATCTCGTGCCAGTGCCTTAATGAAAAGTAAATTATTAGTCTATGGCTTCCTTTTTGCCACAGACAGTTTGCAGTGGGGATTCACCTTGATTCTTTATTGAAAACAACATTTTATGCTATTGTGCGCTCTAAATAAACATAAGGGTAGTCTGTATACACAGTGGTTTCATACTGTTCAAATGCAAAACAAAGACTGACATTACAGATGTAAGAATGTAAGACAGCAACTAACTAGTCAAAATTACCACAATAAAGCCACAATAGCTGTAGCTTTCTGTCACCTTCAGATTAGGTGTCACATAGTACGTCAAAGCTAATTCTCCTTTGCAATCATTTACTAATGAATCATTCATTATCATTATTATGTTTATATGTTTTCATATATTTTTTGACATTAAAGACATTTATAATGTAACAAAATATTTCTAGTTCAAATAAATGCTGTGTTTGAACTTTCTATTCATTAGAGAATCCTAAAAAACAAAGTTTTCAACATCGATAATAAGTGTTTCTTAAGCATCAAATCATACTGTGTATTGGAATGGTTTCTAAAGGATCATGTGACTGAGATTGGAGAAATGTCTGCTAAAATTCAGCTTTGCCATTAGCGGAATAAAATACATTTTAAAATATAATCTGGGAATATATATGCCATGGCAACACATAAAACAAAATTAATAATTTTGGTGTCAAACCATTCTATTCGCACAGCTAAATTACTCCCCAAGTCGCAATTGTTTTATAAAAAATAGCGCACTCGCTAAATTTAAAAACAATTTAAAAGCAGGAACTAAAACCTCAGCCTGTTGAAACAGAGCAGTATTATTGTTTTTACTGCCTCGAAAAACAACCTCAAGATTTATATATAACCAGACAGTACCTCAGATATTTTGAATTTACAGCTTCTATTCATATAGCAACAATGTAATTTTTATTGCGCGTATATATTTAAGCTGTAAATATGAATGGGAGGTCTGACCACCATGAACACCATGAAAGTTATGGAACACAACCAAAAAGACTTAAGCAAGTAGACCTTCTGTTAGCAGGTCAGCTCCATGACATACATCATGTTGAGGTACTTCTTACTGTTTTTGTCTGTTGGAATTTTAGACAACTAATACAAAGGCCAACTTTGCAGTCTTGTGCCCAGATTGTCTCTGGATCTCCACAGTAACCCTGATGTCTTCTCTGATCCCTGGCCAACATGATATGAATGTGTTTACAGACCCACACCTGTCAGACCGAGCACTAAATCACCCAGATCTGGGTTGAGTAAATCCAGAATGCCACACTGTGGGTCAGGGAGGTTCACGCTTTCCCCGCAGGCGAGTGAGGAATTAGAAGAATAACCCTGAAGAGAGGCGCTGCTGCAGCATTCCACACTTCTACTGAAGACGTGCATGCCTGTCTTTAGAAGAAGAAGGTGGACTTGTCTCAGCCTTTAACTTGGAACTGACATTGACCTTGGTCTAGAATATCATGAGTGTCTTTTTAAGGCATTTACACTATGAAGCAGTTTGCTTTCAAGCACATGTTTGGGCCCAAGATGCCCTTTATGAACTTTAGTTTTATAATTACTTTGACCTTTCGTGCCATGCACAGACATTTTTAGACTCGCTGTTGCACAACAAAAAAATCTCACGAGACACAAACATGCAGTAATAAAAAGCAGTCAAAGGCAATAAACATGTTTTACATCTATCATCTGTTTATTATTCTGAAGTATGTACCATACTTATACATAAAAATAGCATTCTGTATTGTTTAACTAAGTACACGTTTACAGTCAAGCATCACTAATTGTACAAAAATAACAACACAAAGACACAAACAATGAAGAACAGAACATCCTCACGTCAGTGTGCAAACCGTTTATACAGACGGAAATGCCTCTTTCTCGGGTGGCACTCCATGATAAATTATTTAAATAGCATTTATCTACACACACATATGAAACAGTCTTACAAACAGCGACAACAAATAAAGCAATAATTTATCAACTTAAAAAAAAAGTACTGGACATCTGAAGCACTGGCAAATGTGTTCCTCTATTTTCCATTGGGATGTGGGGCTGGCTGTTTGTTCTATATACTATTTACAACTTGTGCTACAGTAGCAATAAGGCAACCAATCTGTTTTCTTGAAGCAAAGGAAAAAGTACTTTTAAGCTTTTGCTTGATCAAATTACAAAACAGCAATGAGGTAATATTTGTACATTAAAGTTTTCCTTTATCTCTCTCTCTACAGAAAAGGCAAACAGGTCAGAAGATCATCTCCTTTGGAAGTGATGGATGATTGGTTCTTGACTGGAAAGGTCTGGATGAGTAGTTTTAGACAGAACCTTGGTTATGAGAGTGTATTTTTCTTTTAAATGTTGAAATAGTTGTTTTTAGTGAGGGCAATCTTTAGAAATACCCTCGCTTGTGCTTCTTGAAGCAAAATCACAGCACTTAAAGCGTTTTATAAGTGCTACATAAATATATATAGAAAAAGTCTAAAAGACTTAAACTCAACTTAGAAATTAGCATCTCAAATAAAACCTCACACTAGAGTACTTGGTAATCTAGTATCCATATGTGGTGAGTCTTTAAACCTTGGTCTGTCCAATTCCTCTTCGTACAACCTTTCATTATGCCATTTCTAATGAATATGTTAAAATTGTTTAACCATCTAGCCCTGAGAAAACTATGCCCACTAAACCATAAATTATCTCCCGCCAGACCTTAATGGATGTTCATGATAATTAAGATGTGACTGCTAAGCAAAACTTTAGATAGATAAACATAAATTTAGATAAAAATCAATAAGTGACAGATTTGTCCTTGTAAAATCACCTGCTTAGACTGTCAGCAAAAACAAAAACAGTATTCTTTTACTTATACAATGTTTTTAAACCATTTGTTGTTGCTTCAATACATTAAACATTCACAACTCTTTTTTTGTTGTCAAGAAAATGGTTTAAAGTTTTGATAAAATACTGAATATTATAATAGTAATCTTTTTTAAATGGTTGTGCTCTCTCTAAGGTAGCCCTAATTTGGACACCTGTTCAGGAAGAGAGCATGAAAACACATTAGAGAGAGAGAGAGAGTAAAGGTTTTGAAGTGCATAGCTGTCTGTTGGGAGCTCTTCCCACACAGAGCCGAATGAGGTTTTTCAGAGAGAGATCTCAGTCTTCCCAATTAAGCAAAGCGAGGGAGACTTTCTTCTGCTCTGCCTGCTAATTGTGGAGGAGTCCAGATTCTGCATCGGAAGCCACTTGGTTTCTATCCCAACCAGTGACAGTTACTTTGAAATTGACTACCTGCTTTCTCACTCCACCAGTGTGTGAGCGGCAGCAGAAAAAGTAGCATCAAATCGGTCCCTGGACTTTGCCTGGAATACATAGTTATACGGAAAGGTGCATTCTTTGATCAACTTCCTGCCTGTGCAATTACACATCTGAAAAGGAACAGAAAGACAGGAAGTGTTAATAATGAATGTGAATAAAAGCAAGCACACTTTTATTTGGATCTCTATGGGATGTGTTGACGCTCACCTCTGCATTCATATTTGAGGTCTGAGAAGTACACCATCTCTTGTGAGAAGACAAAGAGACCCAGTCTTCCACCTGTGTATGTTTTGTCATAAATTCTTCCAGAATCTGCCATGATCTTTTTGCCTTCATACATGACCACTCTGAAATATATATATATAAATAATTATTAAAATACATATAAATAACTTTTTTTTTTCTCCAGAATTAACTTCCATTATCTTTTTAGTAATACCTTATGTGCCCAGTTCTTGGTCTATGAGTCAAGTGCCATCTGTAAGCAGTGAAGTCCTTCCATCCCACATTCTTTGGGTCGTGCCACAGTGTGCGCACCTAAAATAGATCATGTACACAAATGTTGGCCTTCATATGAAGGGTTTTTCAAACCTGATTTCATCAAAGTGACCTTGTTGAAACGTACCTGTCCCGGAGTGTCTCCAGTGTGCCAGAGGGCGTTCCTCAGATGCTCGCCTGGCCCTGTGGTGGAGTTAACCACTTTGATTGACAGCCCTGAGTAACCCTGTGCCTTGGTAGGTGTGCTGGACCAGTAGGTTTGTGTGATCTGCTTCCACATGACCACGTAGAAGCGAGAGCTGGACTGGTATCCGAAAACGAAGCCGGCGTAGTCATCATCCCTATCCGTGTTGATGAAGAATGTTCCACTGAAGTCGACTGAATTAAACTCATCAAAACCTTTAAAGAAATTTGGAAAAAAAGTCTGAATTTATACATATTTTAAATTTACTGGCTATACATGTTTTGTTTTTGATTTGTGGCCATTTGCATTTTAATTTGATTATAATTAGAAAATGTCAAATGTCAATGATAATGTTTCAGTTTTTCGTAGTTATATTAATTTGTATTTTTGTTTTATTTTTTGTTCATGACTAATGAACAAAAAGTTGTATTAAATATTGTCTGTTTCTGCAAGCTAAGGTACTTTGCAGGATTTTCTACTTAATTTATGATATTAATTGCTATTTTAAACACCGCCTATTATTTTTACATGTGCAAGGTATTATATTTATTCTTGCTTATGTGAAATTTAATTCTGTTTTTTTTTTAAAGACTGAACTTACCAACAGCAATGCCGGGGTCGCAGTTGACTGTCTGAACCAATTCTTTTCCTTGGTGACGAACCACCCAGTTGGGGTCGATCTGAGAAGTGCCCTTGGGATCAAGAGGAACCATCTGGAATTTGCGGAAGTCGGTTTCACTGATGTCAAAGTTCTCTGGACAGACATCATAGATATCTAGGACATTGTCTTGGTCAAAGTCATCTTTGCAGGCATCACCACGTCCATCGCCTACAAATCGAGAAGTTAAACCAGTAAGTATAAATCTTAGCATTAATGAGTGCAATAGCTATGCATATTCAGTTGTAAGACTGACCATCAGAATCCAGTTGATCTGGATTGGGAACCAATCTGCAGTTGTCTTTGTCATCAGGGATGCCATCATTATCATCATCATAGTCGCAGGCATCTCCTTTACCATCCTTGTCGTGATCAGCCTGGTTAGCATTAGGAATGTATGGGCAGTTGTCCAGGTTGTTTTGGTGACCGTCCTCATCGATATCCTGGTTGCTGTCACATTTGTCTCCGACACGGTCAGAATCGGAGTCGAGCTGTTGGAGTGAAAGTGTAGAATCAGTAAATGCAGATGTCTCAGATTCTCTTTAAAGTAAAGTTCTATGGCTTTCTTAATTAAATTATTCCCACCAGAATGGGTCTTTTTCTAAAAGGCACAAACTTCTGTCCTAGTTGGCCCATCTGTGTAGGCTTTTTCAGAAAGCAATCTCATGTTGCTGAAGCCTGGCACTACCATAGTCACATTTCAGTGTCTAATGAGGAAAGGAGGGGTGCATTCCTTCTCTTCAGTTAACCATGGCACAGGTGTGATCCGCAGGGATTGAATGCCGACAGGGCATGTATAAACCCACCGGCAAATCTCTCGCTCCTTACTAATAACCATTCTTTACCTCTGCATATCCTTTGGGTTAATTGAACACTAGTGAGTGTCCCTGAAAAGCCTCCTAGTGCTTTATTGTGTGGCTTTGGATTCAAGGAGAAGAGGATTTTCTCCTCCCATACATAGCTTAGTAAAGACTGTGACTACCCTCTGGGTATTTTTTTAACAATGGCTCTGAAGCTGAACTGAACAGCTCATAGATCTCTGTGGATTATATAATGGTTTGAAAGCACCTGCGGTATTCACTCACTCGTTTAGATCTCACATATACATACCTGGTCTGAATTGTGTTCCAGAGGGCAGTTGTCACACTGGTCACCAACTCCATCGAGATCGGTGTCTTTCTGGTCGACGTTGTACAGATATGGGCAGTTGTCGTTCTCATTCAAAATACCTGTCAAAAAGAATGACATAATGGTGAAGATTGATTGAAAACACACTGGAAAGTGTCAGGGTGATTCTCACGAAACCCGTCAAGAAAATATCCAGGTCATAACTTACTTCACAACCGAAAGAGAGAACGAACAAAAGAATGAAAAAGAAAAAGAGAAAGAAATTATTATATTTTGCTGTTATTAGTTTAATATTAATATTTGTATTTAATATTTTTATACAAAAAGATTTTTGTTCTCATATTCTCTTTACCATAATACCAAAGAAGACATGTATAATTTTCTCATTACTGTTATGTGAAGAAAATTGTATATTATTGGAATGCTAGGATTTTTTTTGTACTTTTTATTTAATTTATGCATTAATAGTTTTAAATAAATTAAAAAAGCTGTGCAAATTATTACAAATTAAAAATATTGAGAGTATTAATAGTATTACAGTACTGAGAATTGGTCGTGTAAAATATGCGAAAGTCCTAAAAATGTGACAATGCCAAAAAAAGGCTTTGTTTTCTTTGTACAAAATAAAATGCATCTTATTTCTTTTGATTATGGAGTGAAATACGGATGTATTCTTGGCAGGTTTATCAAGGAATGTCTATGTATGGATAAACAAATAGAACACAGTTTCGTACCATCTCCATCAATGTCCACAGCACAGGCGTCACCTTCACCATTGTTGTCAGTGTCAGTCTGGTCTGGGTTGCTGTTGTATGGACAGTTATCGCAGCGGTCTCCCACGTCATCGCGATCATAGTCATACTGTCTTGGGTTGAAGATGAGTGGGCAGTTGTCCTATTTTAAAAGACACCGCAGTTCAGATATAGAAACATATGGCAAATAACAGTCGTGCAATTCTCCATAGGGCCTTCTCACATGAAGGTTATTACTAGATGTTAGGCTTGTAATTTGGCTGCGGCTGTGTAGGTCTATTTCGAGGAGTGCAATGATAAAAGCTAGCCTTATTTTAGGAATTGGACCAAGGATAATATTGGATTAGCAAGATACACTGCAGGTCTTTCAGAAAGGTACTTCTTTGAGGTTTGTTTCCAAGAGAAACTGAGTTTACTTTACACAGCACTTTTTTTCCACACCACAGACTGTAAGCTATGTAAAATCTGGGTGGATTTACTTTCTTCATTCACGCACGGAGCAAAAAGTACAAAAAGGCACTTGACTGGAATGAGCGCCTATGGAATATACTGTATAGACATTAGATATGGATATTTTACCCTGTCATCAGGAATGCCATCGTCGTCATCATCATTATCACAAGCATCACCAATTCCATCCTTGTCATAGTCCTCTTGCCCAGAATTGGGAAGATTGGGGCAGTTGTCCTTAAAAAAAGAGTAGTAGTATATGAATATAAACACTAGCCACAATGATGTTATTTGTATAACAAATATATAACAAATAACAAATAAAGCCAATATATGCCAACCTTCTTGCAGTGATAGGTTGCATTCTCGACACACACAAGATCAGCATTTGGCCAGCCATCAAGATCAGTGTCCTCTCCACAGATGAGTCCATTTCCAGCAAAGCCAGGTTTGCACTCACAGCGGTACATGGGGTCTGAGAAATG